CTATTTTCAGGCCATTTTCCAGGCTGTTGTGGGGCCATTTTCAGGCTGTTTGGGGGGCTGTTTTCAGGGCCCAAAACACTCCAAAAAGTGCTCTGTTTTTTCGCTGGTTTTCAGCTGGTTTTGGGGTGCTCTGACACCCACGAAGACCAGCTGGCCAGCTCGTGTGCCCACAAAGAGGGCTGTGCACGCATGCCATAGGTTCGCCATCATGGCTCTACACCCTCAGAAAGCAACTTGGGTTAACACACACACACACACACACACACACACGGAAGTGATTCTGCAGCTGTGTGAATGCAGCCACTGTTTTTTTTTTTTACCTAGCTGGTGAAGTGTCAGAAGTGAATAACTTTTGAACCCAGAGGCAGGTTGCATATTGGTGGGCTAAGATTCACCCTTAACCAAGTTGGATAGATTTTTATATATGTATATAATTTATTTTATTTTATTTTTAATACAAACAATCTGTCTTCCATTAAACAATGTGTCTTCTGGGTACAAATATCTTGTGTGGTAACAATTAAAGTTTACAGCCTTATTCGTTACATTAGTGATAATTCTCTTTATAATTAATTTTATACTGATACCAGCTCTATACCCCTGCTTCGCTACGAAACTATGTGGTTGGGCTTAGTTTTGGGGGAGGAAAATAAGTGGGGGGGGGGAGTACCTCTGCCTACCGCCATCCATCGGTATTCATCTGGCTAGCGTCCTGTCAGTGGGTGAGAGAGTGGAGGTCTGTTTGGAAACTGAAACAGTATTTGCTGTGTGAGCAAGAAGGAGACAGCAAGGAGCCTGGGCGTGGCTTAGCGCAACTGCTCTGTACTAAAGCTGCTTGGTGCTGCTGTGAAAGTAAAACTGAAATTCCTCTCCTCTGCTTACATTTTGCCTTTGGAGCAGATTTCTTTTCAAGTGGGGAGGGGGAGTAGAACTCCTTAGCATCAGAGCGTGTTAATAATAATAATAATAATATAGGAAATATTCTAAATGCTCTGAGGGTCATTTGGAAAAATCCTTTCTTAGTGAGCCCCTAGAAGCCAAGAGGAACCTACGTGCCAAATTTCAAGTTTGTAGGCTTTACGGTTCTGGAGATTTTGTGATGATGCGTGAGGGGCATTTCGCTTTTATACATATAGAAGATAGATACATACTATATCTAATTATATATAACAATCCTCATCTTAACATATTCAATTCTATTAACCTATGTTCTATATTTCACTAATCTTCTTTTGTTTCTAACTTCCATATTTATCCTATAGCCATCGATAAAATAGTTCCCATATCGTATAATATTCTGTTTGTTCCTTCTCTTAATTGCAGGTGTTAACCTATTCATTTCTGCACATTCTAATATTTTTCTGATCGCACTGTCATCTGAGGAAGTTGGCTAGATTTGATGAGTACAGGAAGTCCTTGAGTTGTGACCACAATGGAACCCAAATGCCTACGGAGATTCGAACTCACATCCAGATCAAGATGTCTTTTCAAAAGACAACTGGGCTTCCTTCGTTTTGCCTGAAGAGGTTTCGCTTCTTCACCTAAGGGGCTTCTTCCATTCTGGGACCGTTTGAACCCGGAACGATTAAGCAGGATCGTTGTTCGGTATGTGGTGCCCCGTTTTACAACTTTCCTTGCCACGGTTGTTAAGCAAATCACTGCAGCCGTTAAGCGAGCATTTTCTCCCTCCCTGGATTCCAGAGGCATTCCTCGAGCCTCCTGGAGGGTGAAAAAAGCCTCCCTGAGCTCGCTCTGGAGGCTCAAAACAGGCCCATTTCCGGCCTTCCAGAACCAGGAGCCCAATTTTTCACCCTCCCCGAGCCTCTGTGTGCACCCTGTACTTCCTTGGCATCCAAAATGGGCCCCATGGGGACTTCTGGGAGGGGAGAGGTGGGCGGGGCCAGCCAGTCATTGCAATTACCGGTTCGTCAAACCAGATGTAAAATTAACAACCAGTTCAGTCGAACCGGTGTGAACCGGTAGCAGGCCAACCCCTGCCTGTAAGAGAGTTAGTCTCTTCTTTAAAAGATGAAAAAATAAAATACAAATTTTACAGTCGCAAACTGGGAATAAAGTACCTGTCGACTAAAAAGATATTCCTTTGGTCCTTTTAGCTGCCAACAGAAAGCGAGTTTGTGGGGGGGGAAGCAATACATTCCTTAAATGCTTCAGATAATTGCTAGGCGATCGGAGCTGCTGGCGCGCAAGATTATTACTGGAGAGCGTGATTGATGACTCTTGGCTATGGATGTGTCCCAGTGGCGAATATACATCCAGGGGATGGCGGGGGGGAGACCAGGGTCAAGGGGGAAATGAATGATGGGTCTTAGAGTCAGCTGTACCCAGGTAACCCCGACATGGTCACTCCTAATAAATCAATTTTTTTAAAATTCTGAGAAATGTGGCTAGAGACTCATGATTTGAACGGGGTTGGATTTGTTGGAGCCCTGACAGTATGTGAGTTTGAAATGGGGTGGCAAGATCCCTCTGGATTTGGGGGTTCCCGAGACTGCAGGCGGTTCTCAAACATATCATGATTCGCTTAGCGACTGTTCAAAGTGACCAATGACACCAAAAAAAGTCACAGAGAATCAGTTCCTCACACTTACAACCGTCGCCGCATCCCCCCAGGGTCCTGCGATCAACAGTTGGGTGCTTGCACTTACGGCGGTTGTGGGATCGTGCAGTCACATGACCGCCATTTGCGACCATCCCAGCTGGCTTCCCAACATGTAAAGTCGGGGCGGGGGGGGGAGACGGATTTGCTTTATGACTGTTTGATTCACATAACAACGGCAGCAATTTGCTTAACAATCCTGGCCAAAAGAAAGGTTGCAAAACTGGGCGAGACTCACATCACAGCTGCTTCGCTTAGCAATGGAAATTCTGCTCCCAGCTGTAGTCGTAAATCGAGGACTACCTGTAACCTAATTCTCTTTCTCCAACATCTCATTCTGCCAGATTTGGGAGGAAAGAAAGAAGGAAGGAAGGAAAGAAATAAAGAAGTCATGAAAAGAAACATTAAGAAAGAAGAAGATGCAAGAAGGAAGGAAGGAAGGAAGGAAGGAAGGAAGGAAGGAAGGAAGGAAGGAAGGGAGGGAGAGAGGGAGGGAGAGAGGGAGGGAAGAAGAGGGAGAAAGAGAGAGAGAGAGAAAGAAGAACAAAGAGGGAGAGAGATGGAATGAAAAGGAAGGGAAAGGAGGAATGTAGATGCAAGAAGGAAGAAAAGAGAAGGAAGGAAGGAGGGAAGAAGGGGGAGAAAGAGAGAGAGAAACAGAAGAGAAATGAAAGGAGGAGGGAGGGAGATGGAATGAAAAGGAAAGGAAGAAGGAAGATTTAAAAAGGAAGAAGGAAAGAGAGAGGTGGAAGGAGAGGGAGAGAGAAAGAAAGAAAGAAAGAAAGAAAGAAAGAAAGAAAGAAAGAAAGAAAGAAAGAAAGAAAGAAAGAAAGAAAGAAAGAAAGAAAGAAATGGAGGGAAATGTTCAGATCAGAAGCCGATGCTGCCTCGAGCGAGACAATATCCCAGTTTATTTTGGTTTCCGAAAAAGGCCACCATCCCGGTGTAGGTCTGAATGCAGATGGGCTCGCTCACCAAAGCCAAGCCGGGAGTCCGGCCTGGTGCAGGGGCTGTTTCTTGGGCATTTTGCACGGCGTGAACCAGCTGAGCCTTGAAGGCAGAAACCTGCAAATGATCAAAAGAAGCCATCAAAAAACAAGCTAAAATTCACCCCCCTGCGAATATTTCCCAGGCAGGATTAATTAACCTTTTTTTAAAAAAATGTGTTTTTATTGGAATGCAAAATGCAACAATAAAAACTTAGGCCAACTAAAAAATATATATATATATATATATATATATATCAAAAAGAAACAAGGCAGAAAGGAAGAAAAAAAAGAAAAAAAGATGAAAGAAATCATTAATGGTTATTTTAGATAATTGGATAAGGTTAACAAGCATTTTTTTAAAAAAAACGTGTTTTTTTTCGAGTTTAAAAATGGAAAGATAAAGTACAAACTACAAAAATTGTGAGACCCAAAATTCGAGAATAGAAACAAAGAAAGTAATTATTGTTTTAGGTAATTAAGTAAGATTAATTAACCTTTTTTAAAAAAATTGTGTTTTTATTGGAATGCAAAATGCAACAATAAAAACTTAAGCCAACTAAAAAAATATATATATCAAAAAGAAACAAGGCAGAAAGGAAGAAAAAAAAAGATGAAAGAAATCATTAATGGTTATTTTAGATAATTGGATAAGGTTAACAAGCATTTTTTTTTAAAAAAATGTGGGGTTTTTTTGAGTTTAAAAATGGAAAGATAAAGTACAAACTATACAAATTGTGAGACCAAAAATTGGAGAATAGACACAAAGAAAGTCATTATCGTTTTAGGTAATTAATGTAAGATTAATTATCCTTTTTTCATCGTGATTTCTATTGGATTTTTAAAATGAAAGATATATCAGAAAGAAAAAAAATGTGGAACGAAAAGGCAGAGGGGGGAAAAAATGAAAAGAAAGGTCATGATCATTTTAGGTCAATGGTTAAGATGAACCATCATTGTTTGAATCCTTGTTATGGAAGTTTGAAAACTGCAAACATGAAAATAATACAATCTTTAAAAAAGGCACCATACACCGAGAGGAAAAAAAGGGGGCAATATAAAGAAATTGGATGATTATCATTTTAGACAATTAGGTAAGACTTATTTTTTTAAAAAAAGTCTTATTGTAGTACACAGAATAACAGAGTTGGAAGGGACCTTTGAGGTCTTCTAGTCTAACCCCCGCTCGGGTAGTCCTCGACTTACAACTTACTTGTTCCAAGTTACAACAGCAATGGAAAATGGGACTTATAACCAGCCTTCACACTTATGACCGTCACGGGGTCCGTGTGGTCACATGATCAAAACAGAGACGCTTAGCAATGGACTCATATTTACGATGGTTGCCAGGATCATTTGATTGATCTTATTTTGCGACCGTCGGACAAGCAAAGTCCCTGGGAAAGTGAAGCCCAATTGATTCAGGGTTCAGGAGTGGTGAACCGGGAACTGGATGACCTTCTGTGATGGATGGTTTAATTCCAGTCCTGCCTGGAGCAGGAGGTTGAGCTAGATGACCTCTGGAAGGTCCCTTCCGGCTTACACATGATATGATTCTGGAAAGGCACCTGCTTGGGGAAATTGCTGCGTGGAGAACTACGGATGCTCTTTGACTCATGACCACCATTCGGTCCAAAACTTCTGTTGTTAAATGAGACAGTTGTTAAGTGAGTTTTAGCCCGTTTTATGACCTTTTCGGGCCACGCTTTGTTAAGTGAATCACCACGGTTGTTCTGTTAGTAACACGGTTGTGAAGTGAAATTTGACTTCCCAAATTGATCTTGGCTGATCAGAAGGTCGCAAAAGGGGATCATGCGGCCCTGGAACACCGCAACCGTCGTAAATACGAGTTGGTTGACAGTGAGAACAATCACCAGCTTGCCTCCAGGGAGTTGTGGGAGCTCCATCACTTGAGGGTGTTTTAAGAAGAGACTGGACAACCATTTTGTCTCCTTCTTGAGCAGCGGGTTGGACTAGAAGACCTCAAAGGTCTCTTCCAACTCTGATATTCTTTCTTTCTTTCTTTCTTTCTTTCTTTCTTTCTTTCTTTCTTTC